ATTGTCGGATGCCTCTTAATTAAAGAATTGAGAATTTGAAGTGGCTGTCCGCAGATTCCTGGGCGATGCTCCTGAGCTGCAGTGCCAACGGTGGAGGCAGCCATCGGATACAATGGACAGGCGTCCGTTCCTTATTCAAAATCACGTCCCTTCCTATCGCGCTCCCCCCTCTCCCCCCGGATAGTGTTGTGGGCGCGCCATCCCCCGACACCTTGCTGGCGCTGCGAGACCTGGCCAGTTTGAGCCGGCCTCTTCCCGCTGACAGAGTCCTCTAGGTAAGCCTCTTCCAGCGAATACCGTTCGAAGGATCAAACAGAATATCTGTCGTCTTCGAGAAGCTTCTATTTTTAAATCCAGACTCGACGATGACGATGGCGGCCCAAGGTCTGTGGGTTGAAGTTGGGGATGTGAGCAAAGATAGACTCCTACGCGGGGCTCGGACTCCGGGAACGAACGCTTCGCGACCATTGACTGCGAACATTACTGCAGGGACTCCCTACTGGGGAGGTGGGTCCGAGTGACCCTTTGAAAGGAGCAGCAGGCGGCTGCGAGAGTGTTCTCTCGGACGAAGTATATGCTTATGCACATAAGTTCTAAACAGAGTATATTTTAGAATTCGATTTCACTATGGCAAGTGTACTACTTCTCGATCCCAACTCGAAACGTAAAATATGTTCCTCCAATCATTGTCGCCTTCCACGAGTCATCCCCCCCCCCCCCCCCTTCCGCTTATCGCCGAACGTCAACATAACCCCCCTCTTCATCGCTCAATAACACTAGGAAAGCCTGCGCCTTCGCTTGTATCGTCACTACTGCAAACTCTTTCTAATGGCGCCGCTGCACTAAGGCCCGTACTCCGTGCCATGCGTGAGAGCGGAGGGAATGATTGGCTTCTGCGGCTCGCGACCGGCGTCGCACCCACACTGACCACCGACGACGGGCTTCCCGTGCCCCGCGTACACGGAGGCGAGAGGTTCACGAGGTATGACGGCGCGAAGCGGATTCGCGTACTCGAATAGCCCCTTCCCCTGGCAAATAGCGAGCGCTCGGCGCGCGCTCGCTGAGCGGATTCTTGATTCCCTCGCGAGATGAGAGTAATCTCTCCGTGTGCCGCTTGTAGATCGGGAGCCAGTGGGGCGCTCGCCGAGCGGCTCCAACCGCTCCGTAGAAAAGTGGCGGAGCGCGTCGAGCGGTCTGGAGTAGTTCTCCGCGGAGTCTTTTTCGGAGGCGTACGATCTGTAGTCGTCTCTCGCAACGTTTCAGTTCGTTATCGACATTCCCGCGGGGGAGTGAAGGAATTTCGCGGCTTTTTTGTTTCGATTGCAGGTTGGGCTTTCTTGGTGTGCTTGTTTTCGTTCCGCTCGTCATGACCGACTCTTCCGAGCATACTGCGACGATGACATCGTTACAGTCAATTTCAGGAGGTCTAATAAAACGCAGTGACAGAGACGAAGATACCAGCTTAGCTCCAGCTCGAGTGACGACGAGGCAGCCGTTCTCGGCGAAGTGTTTGCCGAGTCGTTTGGCTGGCCAGCGAAGAGACCCAAGATACCGCGTTATGTCCACGGCGTCGTGCGCGCCTATTCGAATGAAGAGCTAGGTACGTCGTTTGTTAGTTTTGTGGTCTCTGTAATGTAATTGGAATAATTAGAAGACAACACGCTAAATACTCCGCGGATGGAAGTCGCCTTCGGAGATGACAATCGCTTTACGGCATACGTGTTTGGTATTGCTTTATAGCATCCTACGGCTCGTACAAGTATTTCTATTTATCTTCATCAAGCTTATATAACTGTAAGAAAAAATAAATTGCGTCTTAACGTCGGGGTCACCGTTAATCAAGTAGTAAACAATAAATTTCTTGTCAAAGCATAAAGTTCCGTTCAGAACTTCATGCTTTCAGCAAGATAGCAATGGGAACCGCAACTGTTCAAAAGCGAGAGCAGACGCTCTGGAAGCGGTGGCTCTGGGAGCGTTACGCTCGATTTTGCCGGCAGCGCGTGCCACTGGGATGGATCACGTGACCGATCGCTCACGGAGGCCGAGCGCTCGACGACCACTAGCGCGGAGCGCTCGGCATTTGCCAGGGCAAGGGGCTAGAATACAGGATACTGTACGCGTTCCGAAGCTCGCGAGGGGCACTTTCGTTTTCCTCACTATGGGTACTGCCCGTGCTACCCACATGATTATGGCTTAATTTCCATGTTACATAAAATCTTGGCATTGCACGCGTTTGCACCAGCAGAGGAAGTTGAAGTTTCTCACTCTGAGATGTGAAAACATTCCACCAGGCGTCGATTCCCAATCTTTTCCCCGCGAATCTCTGACAAGGTATTTATGCTCGCCGTGGTATTCATTTAAGCATGGCCTATAAAGAGCCCTATTTACCAAAACACAATTTGAAGCTCGAAATTTATTTTCTTTCCAATCGAAAACAGCGGGTCGAGAATAGACCTATAGGAAGTATTCACTGGCGGCCATAGCTGTGTGCGTGAATGCTGAGCGCGTGCTGACAGCGAGCTTCTACAGTTCTTTTGCAACGTGCATTCCGCATCATCAAGAGTGCCGGTCTTAGCAGCCTATTGATGTGAGCTCGTACTGAGCATGCGCTCTAGACATCACCCACAAATATGGCGTCCAGTGAATACTCCCTATTGCTATATTACCCAGGCATTAAGGAGAATGCAGGGATTGGTGTTCCACGTGCCGCACGTGCTGGCCTCAGCAGTAGCAACTTCTCTGTAGCAAATACCGAAAACAAATGGCATCTTGCACGCGCGTTCGTCGACGCTTTATCTTGGTCATTTACTTCGAATCTTTTATACGGAGAAGGCGTGCGCGTGTGAAACACCAATCCTTGCATTATTCTTGATGCTTGGGTAATATAGCAAAGGTCTATTGGCCGGTTTCAGGTCGCGCGTACTGTCTTTTCCATAGTGCGTGGCGTTCAAACTGATACATGTCAAATATATTAAAGTCGTGGGTCATCTGGGGCACACATTGAATATTAAAAATATAAAATAATATGAACCCTATTATTGTGGCCTTCAAGAGGCTAGGCTGTAAATAAGTTGATAAAAATATATTGCACGGATCACAGTAATTCAATGTACTACGTCATTCTCAATATGGCGACATACCCCGGGCTGAACGACGCGATGGCGGCGCATGACGGATCAACGTGGGGACGATCATGGGACTGCTACATCGGAACTGTCGTTCGTGCTACCGACCAATCGATCTTCAAGCGTCAAACATCGAGCGGAAGGGATATTAGTGGGCAACAGTCGCGGGACAAACGGTGGACGTAACATCGTAGTCGTCTGCTTTATATGCCGAAGAAAAATATTAAAGAAATAAAGCGCGGTCAGGTGTCGCCACTTGACTCCCGGAAACTTTCTCCTTCTCTACATTTCGCCCTCCCTCTCCGTGCACATCTGTATCCACATGCCGCAGCCATGGGTTTCCCTGCTCATGTTTCGGTTTCGCTTTCAAGCAGTTGAATTTTTCCGGTTTATTAAATATATACGTCGTTCTGTAGCAAACTTGATTTGGTACTCTTCTGACACCTTGTTAAATAGCTTGGCAAAAAATTGAAAAAGAAATGTTAATGGTGTTGTGTTCCTTTAAGCTGACACTGCAGCTAAAGCTACAAGCGCGAGCCCGCGTTCCTGGCAGTGACACGTGCATTCGTTCTGTGGAAGAACGCTTCGAAGTCACAATTTTAAGGAGTTACCCATTAAATATGTGCTACATATGTTTGATATCTATGAGCGAAGCAGTAAAACAGCCGTAGCATCTTATCTGACTCATCGGAACTGCTCTCAAGGTTAGGCAGTCATACGTTTTGCGGTACCGCTGTGCGAACTTTGCATCACATGATGGCCATGCAGCTGATCACCGGAGTTGCCATAACTTTTCAGCCCGTGGTTTCGGTTTCACCGTAGATCGCGGAAAAAAAAAACTGAGATAAGTATCTGCAATACTGCAGAGGCATCGAAAATTCTTACACCTCGTAATTCAGGGACACCTCCTGCACTAAAAACATTCGAAGCCCTAAAGTCGGCAAGATGTACCGGATTTACACTTTGATATTTGTAGTAGTAGTAGCAGTAGTAGCAGCACTGCGTTGTGGTTTGTATATTTTTTGCTCGCTATAACTGCTTGCAAGTTTTGGTCCAGTATGAATGTCTGCATGTTCTGTCTAGTTGTTATGTCTGTAGTCACCCTCTTTTCAAGTGTCTGGTGGTCTATCGGTGTGCCTGCTCCAAAGTCGTGTGGTTGTTCTTGGGCACCTAAGAACTAAATTGTTTTTATCATTATTAATATTATAAGTATAAACAACCCGCAACACTTTTCAATCGTTTTCTAGAAAAGTCAACGGTCATACCTACAGTGATAATCATAAGAAACATAATATTCTTTGTTTCCAAAGTGATGTTACCCCGGGTGGTTTTCAAGTCTAAAACAAAGGTGAAAGCCCTTACTCTTGTGCGTCTGCTAGCCAGCCGCCCAGGGGGCCTAAAACGCATCTTCGACTTGTGTGTGTAACGTCCTCTCACACCCATACATCAAAAGTGGGGCCAAAGTGGCAACAAACGAGGTCACAGAAGCTGGCCTGTTATGAATGTCGTGATCTTCACGGTTGGTGCAAGAAGACTTGGCCAAAATTACGAGCCAACGCGAGTGTTGTCGTCGCGGCGTCCCAACTCCCGGCTGGCAAAGCTTCGGTGAACTGTCAATCTAGAGAGCGATCTCCAGAAAAACAAACGTCTGCTTTTTCACCGGAGTGGATGTGACACCTCCAGGATCGCGGCCGGTGACAGCATGAATCTTCTGTGAATCGAGGGACCATTTTTAAGAATACAGTAAGCACGCCAGTCGGAGACGTGTCCCAGGTACCACTGCCGCCGTGTGCGATTTTTCTCCATAAACGCGGCATATATTTTCAAAATCCGTCGGCGAACGAGCGTTTGACCTTGGCTACGTTGTGCACGCAGAAATGACGGAGGACCAGGTGACCTCTTTCCTGCTGCAGAACCAGAACTTCCTGGAAGAGTTCGTGCTCAACCACTGCGAACTGGAGGTGCTCGAGAGGTGGATCATCCGACACACGCAGCGTAACAGAGCAGCTTCTGTACACCAGCCGCCTGGATCTGGTGAGTTCCGCACACGTGCAGCATGACTCAAAATTTAAAACCAACCTTCGGAAGGAATGCTCCCAAGTCAGCCTCTCTTCTGCATCATTAAAACCTTGCTCCGACACAGTCGCTTAAATGTGATCGACATCGCTATGACCCCTCGTGGCGTCTTACGACGACGGAAGATCCGGCACACTGGCGCTACCAATCAAGTGATTTTCTAACCCTTTAGACACACGTATAAGTGAAAGGTGGGCAGTAGATACGAGATCAAAACTACGATCTACGTACGAGAAATTGTCTCGAACAATTGTAATCATCATTTCAAGCTTATAATTATAGATGGTCATCGATTACAATTTTTAATCCTATTAATTGGTACCTTTAATTGACTGATTAATTGATTAATCGCGCGCGTTAATGCGAGGCATAATTGTTCCAAAAGGGAAAGAGCACATTTTTAATTTTGAAAGTAAACAGATTCGGCAGAAATCTGCCGTGTTGGTTGAGAGTTATACACCAAAAATTGTAGCTCCATGCAAACCTCGAGAAGAAACTCGACATTTCGAAACCAATGCGGTTTCTTCTTCAAGGGTGACTGAAAGCACGTGGAGCAGCAGCAACTCCCAACTTCATCGTTTAAAAAAAATCAAAAGTAAAAAAAAGATATTGTTTCTTAGTTATGGAGACGGTCATCTCTTCAGCTTTCCCGTCAGGTCACGGTGGCCATGTTCGTGCACAGAGGGCAAAGCGCACAGGGACCTGTTCAGGTTTCCTGGCGTGTGCTGCATTTGCCTCGGTTCCAAGAAAAGTCTTCTTCGGATATTTGGCTCTGTGTCAATCACGTGCGCCTTCGCGAAGTCAATGTGGTGGTCTAGGGTATCGCAATGTTCGGCAATAACGCTGCGCTCCCTGTCAAACTTGCACACGTCGGTCTTGTATTGGTGGATATGCTCAGGAAAGCTCTTCGTCTCGCCGGTGTAGGTTTCGGGCTCTCTACACAAGGAGTGGCGTAAACCACCTCCTGTTCTCTTTTTTTTTTTTTTTCTTGGTAGATAATCTCTGGGTGGCAAAAATAATCCCTGGAGAAGGGGAGAACAAGTGGGACAAAGGGCCAACATGAACCTTTAAAGGAGTCATAAAACGCTTTTTCAACTTTTTTGTGTTTAGTTTCGCTCCTCAACTCATAAATCGCGCATTGAACCAAACAGTTCAAGAAGTCGAAAAGGGGGGAGTCCCCTCTTGCTCGGAATCTCACTTGACTAGCCGGACACAGCCATTGTCCCCCTAGAAGATTAGCCCGTCGCTCAAAATTTCGACTAGTTGCTTTCCCCACCCCGTTCACCCCGAAGCTGACAGTGCTGTGGAAGCTACGTGCTCGTTGGGCCAGCCACACATTTTCCACGTGATCATGCTCTCTCGCGCATACCGGCCCGCAGAGAATGAGGTCAGGTGATGAAAGGGAGACGGCTGATTGGTCCGGCAAGCGCGTAGCTTCCACCGCAATGTCAGCTTAGGGGTAAAGGGATTAAGTGAGGTCCGCTGTCGTGTGACGTGCGCTTGGGCCCTGGTGACGCGCTGCGGGGGCCCGGTTATGGTGGCTATAGTCAGTTACAGGTTAAGAAGGTAGCGGCAAATGTCCCTCAAAGGGAATCAGATATCCCTCCGCCACCTTTGCATCCAATAGCGTCCCACCGTTTCCGTGACGTCGCGGCCAACGCGTGAGGAGGGTCTCGCCTTTCTGTACATATTTGCTTTATCTTTCGATTTTGCCTTAGCATTGTGGAAGCCACGAGAGGGAGATTAGAGTTCTCCCCCTCCGATGGAAACAAATACGACTTTCGGGGATTAGCTTCCCCCCCGTTGGATACAAAGGCTGCTTTCAGGGGCTCGGTTCCCTCTTCGATGAATACAAAGGTCGCTTTCTTAAAAAGTGGGATCGGAGACAAGTGGGAATCCATTGAAGCGGAACAAGGAGCGTTTCCAGTGAACTCTTCTTTCGACTGCGGAGAGATCTGAAACTGGCGCATCACACTTGTGGGAGGAGCTTCTCCTACCTTCTTGACTTGTAACCGAACGCGCTGCGGGGTCCGCGGATGTATCACAGTGAAAAGCCGGAGAGTTTACGAAGGGAAGGAGGTACAAAATAGTCCGCTATGTTGTGCAAATTTTCGTAGCGAAAGTCAGGCTTCTGACTTTCTACCTTTGTTCTTTTGGCCCACTGAACGATGTGCTATTAGTAAAATCCCAATATAAATTGATTTACTCCAGCCTAAAATTCGTTTTATGGGTCCTTTAAACACAGCTAGGGGACTGGTGCGCGACCGAAAGAATGCGCCTGGTCTTGGTATCGAAGCAGGAGCCTCTCCATTTCTAGTGGAGCGCTCCACCAACTGAAATAAACAAAAGTTAGACGTCAGTCGAGCAAATAAGTTTCTCAGCTGCCGCCAGTCTAGCACCAAAAAGGGTGAACAGTTTGCATTTTTGATGTTATGATTGATAATGCCATTAAAGGCAAAGGTTAAAGCGAGCTGGACAAGAATATCGAAAGTAGACACGGAAGAAAGGGAACAAGGAGAACAAAGGACAAGCACGAATCTCCCAACACACCTAGGTGACTGGCACGCGACCGAAAAAATCCACTTAGCTTCTGTTTGGAGATTCGTGTTTGTCCTTTGTCCCCCTTGCTCCCCTTCTCCAGGGATCATTTCCGTCATTCTTGTCCAGCTCGCGTGCACCTTTGCATTTAATTACGTTATCGATCTTTGGGTCTTGGCATGAACTTTCCCAGTGCGGACGCGGGCTTGTGGACAACCAGAATTTTGTTTTCCCTCTGCAAGCAGCGTCCATGAGCAGTTTGCTAACTGAGCTAATCTATTAACGCTGAGTATAGGTACTATTTTTCCCCAAAATTGTTATGGGCGACGCCATCTTGGTGCTTGTCCAGAGCAGACGCAACTGCCGACCGTCATGATTCAAAAGTGCCACTACCTCAAGATTATATTCGGTGGTAGCAAACTCATGTAATATTTGTTGGCCCTGTCGTGAACTGCTTAAAAATTTATGGAGGACGAAAACGCGTTTTTTTTGTGATTTAAAATAAAGCTTAAGATAACTGGCAACCATGATTTTAAGCCGGAAGATGACCAAGTGTCGTTATTCCGAAGTGTAACTCATTTAGTGACGCTACCTGCCGTGACTTGTGCATAATCTCGCGCTACCCATTACAGACTCGTATCTAATATCTAAGGGCAGAACGTTGTGGAGCAAAGATTAACAGCCAATTTAGAGCTGCAATGGTCTATTTCAAAACGTCGATGCGTATTTGTCGCAAACCAAATTTCATGCGAACAAAAAACGATGAACGCCGCCAAAGCCAGTACATGATGTCAAGGCGTCAGTTGCATAAGCGACTTCATGTGCGCATAAATGACACATTTGAAAACACCGAAGACGAGAGTGCAAACCAAGTCACAACAACATGAGCAATAAAGTGTTAAAAAAATACGTTTGAATGGCTCGAACGTGGTTCAACTTCGGAGCGAGTCGAAAATCGGAGCCATTTTGCTTTTTAACTTTTTTGCTCATGCTCCTTGCCGACTGTAGGCCCCTGCCGGTAGTGGCAGACGCCGGGCGAACAACGTCGAGCTCGCCTAGATCGGTGGCGAACAGCCTAAGGCCCGAGTTCACCCCGAGCGCCCGAACTGCATGCGCATCTGCGAGCGGGCAACTTGTTTTGTAATGGAAACATTTTGCGCCATCTATGAGGAGAAGGCTACAACTCAATCGCAAGTGAATCTCCCTTGAATGGAAGGTTAATCTATCTATCGCCGATCCCTTTCACAATGAAAGGGTGATTGTTAAAATCACTCAAACCAGGGGCCCCTAATTTGGACACTTGGCGAAAAAGTCGGCGAGAAATCTGGCGGCTATGATTCACCGGAGCCAAGATGAGGTGCGGCATTGGCCGATCACGAGCGCCGGATTCCTCGCCGACGTTTTCGCCAAGTGCCCAGATTAGAGCTCCATAAGTGTTTTAAGGCTGGCCGATAAGTAACACCAGTGTGTTATCTCGTCGTACAACGTCGCAAGCGGTCGTGGCAGTCGCATATAATTGCACGGAAATGCGTGAACCCCTTGGTTTAGACATTTGCGTTTGATTGTAATCAGCTGCACTACAGCCGCGTTAAACTGCATTCGAGGAGATGGTTACCATGGCAACCGAGGCTCGTGCAACGCGTCGCAGTGTAACAAAAGGCGTGTCGTAAGGCAGTTGGTCCCACTGAGGCACAAATATTTCAACCAGCCTTGAAGGGGCAATGCGGCCATTCCCTTAGCTGCCCAAACTAATTACCTTTCCTGAATAAGCGAGCTTACTCTCGCCGGTATGTTATTCAGTATGTCTAAAATCAAAGTAGCTGTGGTGAAAACGGTAAATAAAGGCGATGCCACCAAACTTTTTTATTTTTATTTGGTAGCTATATTTAGTGGCGTGACTTCATTGGCAGGCATTAGCGGCCAGTCTAGAAAACAAAATGCCTCGCTTATTTTCTTTGTGCTATTCAGAAACTGTTGAGGGTAGTTTAAAAGGCATTCATTTTACACCAATCAACTATTTGTAATTATTTGAAAAAAAAAAAAACATGTTTTTTGAAAAGCGAACATGAGCCTTCCGCTCGAATCCCCTTTTTATTGTGGACAGCAACACTCGTTACGGTTGAAACAGGGTGAATACCAGAATTAAAACTATATTAGCTTCCCGGACAATAATTATTCCCACCCAATTCGTTAATTACTCTTTCAAAAAGATAAAGTGGTGTGATAAACCAATTTTTGGGCACTTTAAAACACAACAAAGCACGCAGTCTACTTTTTTTTACCAACGTGCACATCTTTTCTGGTTAAAAACTCGTGCCGTTGAATAAGTCGCACCCGGTAATAACGGCTCTTTTCATTAAAAAAGTCGATATAGTGGAAGTCGCTCCTTTGTTTGGGTCGCACGTCTTTGCAAGGTCGACGCGGCGCAACAGCATTGATAAGTCCTCACACGTGCATTATGATCGCGGTATATGCAAAAGCGAGAGTCAGTTTCATTATATTCCAGACGCCGAACCGAACGAGAAAAGGGTCTACCTCTCGTACGGTCAAAGCTCACGCTTAGATTATGAAACAACAAGATCAGACCGCTGTATACTACGCACCGACGGAGTTTGTTCAGAAACGCCTCTTGTACACCGGCCCATACGGTGACATTCACTGGGCTAGAAAAAGGACACGCAAGAAGAGGACATAGTTCCGACCCTCCCGTTCACTCAACAACGTTGAACAACACTTCGCTTTTGATAAGACGCCGTATTCCGCATGCCAAGTCGAAAATGAAGATAATGCTTGGGCTGCGATTGTCGTGAACAAAGTAAAACAAATCGAAAGTACCAACAGGTGCAAATCGACTTTATGAAGCAGTTTCGTCAGTTTAAGGTGGTAAACAAACAAAATCAACTCGCGGTTCGGAACATAGTAAAACCTATAATTGTCGGACATTCGCCAAACGAGTTTATATCGGAGAAACTATATAGCAAGGGTACGGGCGAGCTGGTGAATATTAACAACGTCGAATTAACCTGAGACTGATGTTTCTCATATTTCGCAGTCCCGGGTTAATTCAACGGGGTTCATATCAGACTCACGCACGGGACACGTGAGGCAGCATTTTGTTCGGAAAGCTGCGAATGTTACATGGTCAAATCGAAGAGCGAGGCAACATTGTTTCTGCAGGTCGGGGTCCTCCTCGAAAGACCAGCTTGTCCCGGTGGAAAGTAAGTATTGCTTCACCCCTCTCCACGTAGTCCAGTTTTTCTATGAGGAGAGCAAGTCGTCTGCTTTTTGTACAGGGGTTGCGAGGATGTCAGAATGCCGAGCTCTTATTGGCTGATTGAAAACAAAATAGTGGATAGACCTCGAGGCATCTACCATTGAGATCTACCCGCTATCCTTCAGATCAAAGCCAATTAGAACTCGTCGTCGCTCTGACGTCACCGAAACCCTCGCGCAAGAAGCAGACGACTTGCTCTCCGCATACTGCTTTGCTCTCTTCGACTGGGGGATTCAAGGAGCGGCCAGGCTCTTTAAAACGACCGCAAAATTTGGTTTTTAAACTATCGCGCTACGACTTTGTGCAACGTTGCCCACAGATGGTGCTTTTTGTTTTTTTGTTGTAAAATTTGGAAAGAGCAAGCTTACCTGAGGAAGTATTAAGAAAGAAAAAGGCTTGGCTCCTATGGAAACCCAGCGAAGCCACCGGTTTTCAAACAATACGGCGCCGCTTCGCACGGAAGACAATAGATGGCGCAAGCTGTCGCTTTCCCAACTGCCGCCAACGAACGAGCATACGTCGCCGAGTGCCCGAGTCTTTAGCAGGCAATAGTTTCGACTCAAAAGCAGCGAGAGTTTTTCTGATATCAGTTGCCAATGCATTATTTTTATTATTCTTACTAATAAAACATATTGAATGGACAGATAATCGATTAAAAAAATGGCTCGTCGGGATATTTTGACTGTTTTTTTTTTTTTTCGGGCTACTGAGTCTGATGCCGTCTGCTTTTCAGTTCCTTGTTACCGCGCCTGTTTTTGTTTCTGCGACCGTCGCCACCTGCGGAACGCGCGCCGCTTTTAAAGGAATACTACAACGAAATTTCGGCGCTTATAACACTCCGTGCGGGAACAATACGGGGCTCTTTGAAAAACGCGTGCAGCGCCGCTAGCGGAGGAGCTGGCGTTCGATTGTGAGGCGCGTTCAGCAGCCTGCGGCGCCTTTTCGCATTCCTAGCTGTGGCGGCGGAAGCGCGCACGGACGAAACTTTTGCTTTTTGAGCCGATAAGTTGAGGGTGACGTTGCATGAGTGCTGGGGCAGAAGGGCATTTAGCTGTTTTCCACTTCTTACATATTGAGTTTGAGTCGTTATTAGGGGTAATTTCTCTAGTTGCGGCCGAAAAAGGAGTTGGAGCAATTTTCCGAAAAACAAGACGGCCGCCACCTTAATTGCTCTGAGTGGGAAATTTATTTCGCTCGTCGCTGTAAACCTGGGACTGCTGAAACGATGATATTTGGAGGCGAGTGGGGTGTTCACTAAGTTTGTGCACGAAGAGTGCCAAGTTTCTTTAAGACAGCAGGTGTGAAAGTTAGGTTTCTAACGTATAAGGAAATAAAGCTGTACGGGATATCCAATATTGGACCCAAAATGTTGTGTTATAGTGGGCTGTGCAAAGTGCAGATTTGGGCACACAGGTGCTTGGACTTTACAGTAACATGACACAGCACTTATTATAAAAAAAAAAAAAAAGGTGGCATAGGGAAACCAGGTGAAAATTTGGTTTGGGCGGCGTAACTCAATGTGAACCGGTTTTGACCATGAGAAGGCTGTCAAGAGAATACCACTGGTCGGGGGAGGTGGAGACTTTAGAGGTAGGAAGCGACTAGCGGACTATACTTCAAATTGAAAAAAAAAAAAAAAAAAACTTTACGAAAGGTGGTTCCAAAGCCGAGAAAACCAAATTGTCGGCCAAAACACGGTTTGGCCGCCAAGGACTTTTGCGGTCAGCTGTTGTGTAATAACCTGTTGTACGAGGTGCCGATTTTCGGCGCACAGGTACTTTGACATGACCGTCCGTTGGCACACTTATTATAACAAAAAGAGTTGGCACAGCGAAACCACGTGGAAATTTAGTTTGGGCGGAGTAACTAAATGGGAACTGGCTTTGACCGTCAGGTAATACCACTCATCGTGGGAGGTGCACACTTTGCAGGTAGGAAGGGATCAGTGGACGGAACTTCTAGTTCGAACCACTTTGCGATAGGTTGCTCTAAAGCAGAGAAAAAAAATTGTTGTCTACATAACTCGGGGTGTCAGCGTTTCCACATCCAAAAGGAGGCTGATCAAGAAAGAAAGCACACCACATAAACTTCCATACTCAAACGTCGATTCTACAGTGATTTCGAGTTTCATTGTTGTTTTCTTTAGATTTATATTTGTCACTTTTTTTACCGTTCGAATCTTTCTTCATGAAGTACAGATGGCGTGCCATACTTGTTCGGAAATATCATCGACACGTACGATGGGGACGAAACTTCTTTGGAGGGCATTCCTCCAACGAAATTGGCACTGCATACCCGCGTGTGTGGGTTGCATTTCAGTTCGTCCTATCGGCGCTGACACATGTAGGCGTTACTGGTACGAAAACAAACGCAGAGCGCAAAGCGGCAGTGTAGAATATGTCAGCCGTGCCGACACAGTGGCAGATATGATCGGGAGACCAAATTTCTCGCTTCGTACGGCACGGCTCCATCGTTGTCGCTGTTCCACAAAACATCGGCGAGGTGAAAAACTGTGAAACTTTGTCTCCACGAGATACGACGCATAACTATTGAAGCACTTAATGACGCAGCACAGGCAGCACTTCATGCTGTAAACCCAGCGCAATCGCACCACTCCAACTTCAATGCGTACCAACGTACGCGGCGTGGTTTCGGTTTCGTTTTCTCTCGGGTTCTCATTGCCTACGTTCGGTACTGGCCGCGCGGCGGTGCGCCAGTCGCGTCGCACGGAGTGTATAGTATCACATCGGACACATCAATATCTTGGTAAAAAAGACACGAAAATGAATTGTAAAACGAATTAAACGAGTAGCAAACAGCACCTGGTGGATGTCGCTAACGCCTCGTTTGTAATACCCGTCTAGGAACCTTGACAGCTAGTGACGGAGGTTATCTCGCCTCCGGCCACGACGAGAGAAGATGGGAAGGAGGAACTCCCGTCTTAACGAGAATCCCTTTTGTGTGACCCAGAAGTCGCTATTGTCCCCCTACAAGATTACAGAAGATTAACCCGTCACTCAATATTCGTACAAAAGCAGCCGCTTCGGTGGCTGGAACGACTAGGCCATCCTCTCGACGTCAGCCTCGCCGTAGCTTTGCTCGTCCCGAGACGAACTACGTCACGATTGCGTCGGATGTCGCGTGCTCTAAGTTTGGCCTTCTCCGAGCGCTTGCCAGATTGGGCCGTTTATTACAAAAAGTACAGCCACCAGGCTCGAAATACAAACTTGCCATTGTCATTTACGGATATTGTGGATCATATTCAACCTATTTTTAAAATCAACGGATATATTTCAAATTTCGTTCAAGTATCCTTTTAAATCGAAACGATAGTCTGCTAAAGACGCCGGCTCTCGACGCTGTATGCTCGTTCCTTTGCGGCAGTTGGTGTCGCGCCCCGTTGCGCCATCTCTTGCCTCCCGTGCAAAACGGGGCCGTATTGTTTGAAGACCAGTGGCTTCGATGCGTTTCCATAGGAGCTAAGCCTTTTTCTTTCTTCACTTTTTCCTCGGGTAAATTTGCTCTTCGCAAATCTTACAAAAAAAAATGCACCATCTGTGGGCAACGCTGCACAATGTCGTAGCGCGATAGGTTAAGAAACCGAATTTTGCGGTCGATTTAAAGAGCCTGGCGTCTCCTTGAATCACCCAGTACTTTTTTATATTCTCTTACGCTCCTTCGCTGTATTACACGTGTGACACTTCCGTTGGCGCAGTGTCTGGTCTTTCATACGCCAGACACTGCGTGCCGAAGAGACGACACTCTCGTTGATTCTGGTGGGACTTAGACAGTGAGTAAAAGACAAAGGCAGCAAGGTCTTGCGTCTACCCACTATCTTTCCAACAAGAGGTAGGTGCTGTGACGTCATTGCACGCTCTCCTCTCCCCCTCTCCCTTTGTTTCCAGCCGTATAACTATACTCCGTTTTATATTACGTCCGATCGAGACGCAGAGATCAGATAGATCAAATTGAGCAGTGCCGAAATCGTATCGTCACGGCGGCCGTGGTCCTTGTGTTTGCCATCGGCAAATCAAGCAATTTCGCGTGAAAAAAAAAAGCGCGGGATGAGGCGATATTTACTGCGAGCGATTCGTCTATCCGGTCAGAGCTAAGACTCACAAAGATACGAGTGCCATGGTCTTGGCGCTGCTGGTTTAGCTCCGTCGGGTTGTGAAGTTGGCTGTGGTAGGACCTAATGCTAAAACGGAGTCTACATCCTGGCTCAAATCATCCGAAACGAATTATGAACCGATGTCGAAAATTGGTCTCCGAATGTACGGCTCTACATTTACCGCAAAACACCCGCTGTATTTGTTCGTAAAAAAAGTAAAGGCGTTTTACTTAGCTCATACGACGGGCTAGTTTGTTATACGTTGGACGAATATAGCTAGCCCGTAAAGACCACGAGAAGTAGAAAAACACACAGAAACGGACACGCGTTTCTGCACAGCGCTTGGCGTTACCGTCATAACGCAAAAACCGCAAAAAAAGAGAGGATAACACACAGACACGGAAAGCGCTTAATTGTCCGTTTCTTTGTGTTCTTCTGCTCGTCCTCGTCTTGTGCGCTACCTTTATTCGTGTAAAGAAGGGACATGACCCATTAACTAGTGGACTTCTCAAACTGCGGCAGCACTGAAACTTTATAAATGATCGTGGTACATAATGGCAGATAATTCGTAAAATGTCGCCATTCTTTAGGAGGAATTTGAACTCTTTGAGCCTGTTTGTGGCATCTAAACAAATAGAAAAAGAAGACACCTATACCAGACGACAGAGACGGGAACATCTTTCCTTTGTCGTCTCCAATGTGTCTCTTCTCTGACTGTTTGTGAGGAATACTTGCGGAGTGCGCTTATGGCGAGTCAGAAAGAACTCTAGACCTCTGGAACGACAACGCAACAATCATCTCCCCGTACGGCAATGGATGTCAAGTTTGACTTG